TGACTGATTTGTGGCAGTGTGCAACTCTCTTCTCTACACAGTTGTCATGTCTCAGAAACTTTGTTCCTTCTTGGTGGGTGCATCATACTCTTGAGGTATAGCCAGTTCCTTAATAATCACATACTTTTTGTTGACCTTATCCTTTTGTAGGACTAACTTCATAAATAAATTTGTGAGCATCCTGCCATTATCTCTGTGTCTTGTTCTGACCCTTACCCTAGCCAGGAGATTATTTTAGTCTCTACTACATTCAATGAAATAAGCAGCTTGATGATCATTCTTACTTCATATGGTTTCAATTTTATCACTGTCATAAAGATGCCTTCAACTGGGGGTCTCCACAAAGCCTTCTCCACATGTGCCTCACACCTGATTGCCAACAATAAAATGGGTACTTTAGTCTTATAACTGCAATAAGAAGTTCTACCAACAACTTGAGAATCTTAGAAAGAGATTTTATCCCAAGTTAATCCTCTTATGAGACCACAGCTCTGGCATCACCTGATTTGTCCCTTAATGACACCCTGGAGAGTCCAGAAAGCCCAGCCAAGTGGTGCCTGGACTGCTGCTCTACAGAAAGTGTGCTATAAAGTATGTGTATCAGTTTAAGCCACCGAGTAGGTGGTAGTTTGTTAGAAAGCATAGAAAACTCATATACCAGTTACAGAAAGCTGGTAGCTTTGAGTGACTCTGGTGCAGAAATTGGCTCCAGAGCTGGTCCAGGGTATAGAGAGGTGTCAGTGGTGAGGAGCAGATGCAGTGTGGAACTCAAGCCAGTCCCAGGGGGAGAGTGACAAAGTAGACACGCCAGGATCCTGGAGCAAGGCCATGTCACCTACAGTCAATAATTCTATGCCATGTGATAGAGAGCCTCTGTTGCTATCAGATTGGGGAGGGGAGGTGGCTGAAAGAAAGAAGGTGAAGAGATTAACCAAAGAGCATACTGCATAACCCGTAGGCACAGACAACAGTGTGGTGATGGCCAGATGAAAGGGGGGCAGGGGCTGGGTGGAGGGGGGTAAAGTGGGGCAAGTAAGGACATCTGTAATAGTGTCAACAATAAAAATAAAGTTAAAGAAATAACTTCTGTTGTGTTAGGGGTTCTTGGTAGAGACTGTGATGATGGTTAGTTGGCTGTTGGGGGCCCAGGGAAGACTTGTATGAATCTAATTGAGTGGTATTTGGGTGTAGCGAGACCAATGGATTGGTTGGTACTCAGTGGTTTTAAAGAGTTAAACATGCTTCTAAAATATATTTTTCATTTTTGAGATGGTAGGGACACAAAAAAATTATTATATTAGTCAATTATATTAATATAAGCTTGAAAGAGTAGAATGCCCATATTTGGAAGAAAATGTATTAGTTTCAAAGAAGTGAACCAGTGTTTCCAAGAAAATGATTATTTTATATGAATTGAAAAGTCCAGAATAAAAGTTGTATTGTTTTTATGTCTCAACACACACACACACACACACACACACACACACACACACACACACACCCCACATATAGAAAAAGACAGAAAAATCACACAGCAAATGTTAACAGCAATTATCTTTGAATGGTTGCATTTTAGCTGATTTATCTTTTCTTTTGCAGTTCACTGTAGCCATGTTTTCTAGGTCAATTTGTATATTTTATGTAATTACATTTAAAAAAATTATGAAGTAGGCTTGATGAAGCATTGTCTCCAGTGATTTAGAAGAAACTACATTCTTATAAAAAAGACACATAGGAGAACATTTAGTCTAATAACTGAGTTTCTGATATAATTTAGTCAAGTTTCTCTAGGGTATAAATCCCTAAGGGCGTGGAGGTATGCGTAAACTCTACATAAGTTTCCAGGAGTCAGATTCAACTTCCAAACCAGTTTCAATTCCTCTCTCTCTGTTTTTCTGGGACAACAAAAAAGAAATATGTTGCCATCACATCAATTAAAATTTATGTGAACTCCTTTTATATTTACCAACTTAGTATTCTGAACAATTTTGAATTCTGAGTGGGAACTTTTTTGGAGACTATTAATAACAAAAACAAGATCTTCAGGTGAGTTGCTTTCAGGTTCGGTGATCTATCTTGTGTTATCTCTCATTTGCTTGGTGGACATTGAAGTCCTGCAACCTTTGAGGCAGGAAACACTCTTTTTAATCTAGATGCCATATTATCTCCAGAGTCCAACTTTCTGAGGGCTCACATTACTGAGCTATATGACCTCTTCTTCCTTCCTTGGGGTACCATCATTATTTCTGCTTTGAGAATATCCACCATTTACCTAGCATAGTACAATAACACTACACAATTAAAAATATATATATATTGTAAAATATGACATTTCCTTCAATATTGTAAAATCTTATGGAAAAGAGATAAGAATAATACGTATAAAGTAATAGTGAACAGGACACATCACGAAATCTTGATTTCATGATAGTGGTGTCTGTAAGGATACCAAGAATGTGAAGAATATGCTGGAGTGAAAAGGGAAAATTTCTTTGTGATAGTAGTTTTCATGCAACACCTTATTTTGCAAGTGCTGCACCACTATACTAACAAAGAGGGTATTGCAGGTAAAAGGAAAATCAGATAAAACCAAGAATAAATATGCATGTATTGTTCCTTAGAAAATAAGAGTATTGGCATGAATAAGGAAGGTTGATGACTAGGAAACAGCTAGGGCAGAGCTTTAGGTAAAACTGAGCAGAGGAATTTAAATTTGATAAATTAGAAGAGATCAAAGTTTACAGAGCCAAAGGCTGCCATGATAACCACAGTCATCAAGGGAAGAAGAAACCTATGCCCTCACAGTGCAGCCCAGCAGCAGGGAGGCTGGCTGTCCTCTGCTACCGTAATTCACCTAACGATTCTGTTTGCTAAGCCTCCCAAAGGCACTGACCTGGGATTGGAAAGAGAGGACAAGAAAGAGTCAGATAATAATTAGAAAGCAAAGGAGAAAACAGACAACTGGATGAAGCAACAGTAAATTGGAGAATTAAGACAAACAGGGCCAAAGGGAGATCCAGGGAAGAGCTGAGCTAGACTTTGATGTCCCAAATTGTACCCACTTATTGCTCCCCACTTTGGTCTTTAATTTGTTTCTTAGATTTAATAAATACATATGGGTTTAAAAATAATACCAGTTAGTTATAGCACTAAGAATTAAAAGAGGTGAGTGTGGGAAAACCTACATCTCCTGGACTCCACGATTATCAGACCTATGCTCAGTATATTAATATCACTTTCTAATTTAATTCTTATACACCTATGAAATATGCATTACCATGTCAATATGATTGATAAAGAAAGTGAGGCTTAGACAATTCAAATCTTCACCAAAGATCACACAGCAAATGACAAAGCCTGGAATTAAATTTAAACAGGTGTTTTCAAATCCATGCTTCTTTAATTATGCTGAGCTGTCATTAGCTCTTTGTCATGTTCCTGCTGATTCTCTTTCCCTCATGTAGGAAATAACTGTTTCTGAGTGTCACAAGGAGCACTGAGCTATGAGGGCATCATGCTTTCTTTCTAGACCTGGTCGGGCAAAACTGAAATGATGTCTTTGTTTATGAGGTTCATACCAATTGTCTTTTATTAACCTGAACATTTCAGACATGTGCTTACTATTGGCTAACTTATTTTTAAAATCATTGTTAAATGACTAGGAATATGTCTGTGGTTATGAACTGCTTGTGAATACAAGATGCTTTTGTTTTCTCAAAATCACACATACAACTGTAACAAAGATTGCATGACTCCAAATAACATAATAAGATATGTAGCTTTAATCAAAAACCCTTCTACAGTGCTTAGAGTGGCAATGTTCCCATCACTGGAGACTTTGAGGCCGATTGTGCAACTGTTGGTGACTATTATCATATTCTCTAGCTTTCTCTAGAGAATATGAAAGGCTTGAGCAAAATACATTTTAAGTTGCTCTTCAATTCAGAGATCCTGTGAGTGCCTAATGCTCTAACATGCCTAACAAATGTATCAAATGAAAATACTAGAAATGTAAAAGATAATAAGGAATCTAGCTGAATATGTTGACAGCATCCGTGACACTAAGTAAGAAAACACGTAAGTAGGAAGGAAAACAGAGGAGTGAGGGAACATGTCCGAAACATAACTTCATTATCTTGCCAGGTTGCCACCTTGCTTTTACAATCACCGAAGCAATGATTGCAGCTTCAGGCTGGAATTAATGACAAGCTTGAAGATGTACAGGGTTACATTCCTTCAATACCCATATATTTGTTCAAAGCTTGAAGTCTTGTGGTGACTCACGTATGCTGCCTTTCCTGTGACCCTCAGGTTGCACGTCATGGTCCAACATTGTGGTCTCTTTGTGCTCTCACAGAGCCGTCTCTTTCCTAGGACATGCCGTGTACATAGAAGTGGCATCACTTCTACTGCTTTGGCTTCTCCTCATTCTTCCTTTACAACTTTTAGTGCTAAATTTATATCGATTATTTTATTAATGCTATTAGATTGGCCAAAGAGCATATATGCCTAGTCCATGGGCACAGACACCAGTGTGGTGAAAGCCAAAGGCAGGGGGTGGGGTGGGGGCAAAGTGAAGTTGGACAAAGGAGGGGGGATGGGGAAAACCTATAATAGTGTCAACAAAAAACAACAACAACAACAACACAAACCTTCAGAATAACGGAACTGTGAAAAACATGTTTTCTAGAACCATGTAAAATAGTTTTCTATCTAACCCTAAACTTACTTCAAAGTCTGCCACTCAGGGTGAATTTCAAAACCCAGCTCATTACTAACAAGCTGTGTAACCTGGAACAAGTTTCTTAACTTACATATGCCTCAGTTTTCTTATGTGAAAAAAAAATGAGGCTACTTGTTTTACAATTGGTAATGCTGTTTGGAGACGCAAGTGAATATAGCTTGATGTCTGCCACATGGTAACTGTTATATAAATACACTCTCATTATTATCATTGTTGTTATTTTTATCATAATTTCAGATTTCCTCCAACAACAACCATGTTGTTAACCAAAGGAAATCAGAGTGCTGGAGCCACATTCACCCTCTTGGGCTTCTCAGAATTTCCAGACCTCCAGGTGCCCCTGTTCCTGGTATTCCTGACCATCTACACAGTCACTGTGCTGGGAAACCTGGGCATGATCATGATCATCAAGCTCAGTCCCCAACTCCACACCCCCATGTACTTTTTCCTCAGCCACTTGTCCTTTGTGGATTTCTGTTATTCCACTACAGTCACACCCAAACTGCTGGAGAACTTGGTTGTGGAAGACAGGACCATCTCTTTCGCCGGATGCATCATGCAGTTCTTCTCGGCTTGTTTATTTGCAGAGGCGGAAACATTCATGTTGGCAGTGATGGCCTATGACCGATTTGTGGCAGTGTGCAACCCTCTGCTCTACCCAGTCGTCATGTCCCAAAAGCTCTGTGCATCATTAGTAACCGGACCCTACACTCTGGGTATTGTCTCTTCCCTAACACTTACCTATTTTCTCCAGGCATTATCCTTCTGTGGGTCTAACTTCATAAATAATTTTTTCTGTGAGTACTCTGTCATTGTTTCTGTCTCCTGCTCTGACCCCTACCTCAGCCAAGTGCTGTGCCTTGCCATCGCCATAGTCAGTGAGGTGAGCAGCCTGGTAATCATCCTCACTACTTATGTTTTCATCTTCGTCACTGTCACAAAAATGCCTTTTGCTAGTGGGCGCCAAAAAGCCTTCTCCACTTGTGCCTCCCACCTGACCACCATCACCATTTTCCACGGAACTATCCTGTTCCTTTACTGTGTACCCAACTTTAAAAACTCAGGGCTCACCGTCAAAGTAGGGTCTGTATTTTATACAGTGGTCATTCCCATGTTGAATCTTCTGATCTACAGCCTCAGAAACAGAGATGTGAAGGAGAGTGTCAGGAAATTAATGAACCACTCAGTGCAATTTTGTTGAAGGTTTGTATTTCCGGAAGGGATTTGATTTATGATATTGAGGGTGGTTCAATGCTTCTAGTAGAGATGATGGTTCAAATCACTTAGTCACTTCACCAGATTTTTAAATCCATTGCAATAAACCACTTACATGGTCCCTTGATTTCTATTCACTTCGATGGTTAGTAAAAGAGCTGTGAATCGTAAGTGAAGGAACCTAAGTGTTGTAGGTTGAATAATGTCCCCCCCCAAATATCCATGTGCCCCTAGAAGCTCAGAATGTGACATTATTTGGGAACAGGATCTCTGCAGATGTAACTAAGGTAAAGATTGAGATGAGATTATACTGGATGAGGGCGGGCTTCAGATTCAAATGGGTGAGTTCTCACTGAGAAAAGTTCACAGGGGACACGCAGGGGAGAAGGCTTCATGGAGACTGGCATTTTGCTGCTCCCAACCAAGGTGCTCCAGGGACCACCAGAATCTGGGTGATGCAAAGAAGGGTTCTCTCCCAGCATCTTCAAGGCGGGGCGTACTCTACCAGCACCTTGATTTCAGTCTTTGGGTCTAAAGAAGTACGAGAAAATAAGTTTCCGTTGTTTTACGCAACCAAGCTTGTGGTAATTTACTGCAGCAACCGTAGGAGACTGACTTAATGGTAAATATGAGACCTAAAATGCAGCTCTCTTCACTCAAAATTGGCATGATGAATTATTTTTTTTAAAACATCCCCAGGTAAGCAATGGGAATGTCGGGGTTATGGAGGAATTCTGCCACGTTGTAGCTGACTGGGAGTGTGAACACAGAAGAATCAGCAATGCGTTCCTGGAGGCACAGTCTGTGAGGTCTGGCCAAGCTCTTGGCTCCTTTCTCACCGTGGCCTCGTGTAGTTTCATTATAGTATAGAAGTGATGTTAAACATGATGACTCTGAATATCAAGTAAAAATGCTGATTTTATAGAAATTTCTGGAAGGATTGCCAAGGGGAACCCAAAATGAAAAATCTACAGTTATTAATCTTGCAATTTGAGGTGTCAAACTTGACTTTGTAATTCTATTTGCTAACATAGTGGATATCATAATACAGTTTAGAAGTAGTTTGCATAATTTTTGTTTTGTTTTCAAAGGTTAATTACACACTTTACCTGCATGGCATGTCTGCCAGACAAACAGGCATGATTGCAACTGTTTTGATTGAAATGTCAAAGAACCTCTGAGAAAGTTAACAGGGTCCAAAATATTTTAGCACTCACTCTCATTATATTAATACTAATTTGCTTGGTATTAATAAATATATTTCTCTGACTATATCCATATGTTTATTGAAATGTCACCTTCCCAAATAACCCCACTCTGAAAACCTAATACAATATCGTGGTCACTTCCTACCCCCTTAACACGATTTATATTTTTTCATAGCAACAGATATATGTTTAATAGATGCAGTAATTTATGTGTCTGTTTTTTTGTTTTTGTTTCTCCCAGTAAACTCTAAGAGGGCAGAAATTTCTTGTGTCTCTAATGACTAGAAAAGTGCCTAGAAAACACGTTGGCCCTTCAATGAATACTTACCTCATGAATAAAAGAAGGAAGGAAATAAAATTTTTAGAGTAAATTAATAATATTTAGTATTATGTCCTGTATGTCTAGGTAACATTTTGGGTAATATCTCCTCAATGAATACAGCAGTCACTTGAGATCCAAGAAACCAAAAGGAGAGGAATAATATGCTCAAAGGTGACCATGGTTGTTTATATGAATTCTTCTGCTGATAATTTTTGTACCATGGAGAACATTTCTAGGTCTAATTTTAAGTACTTCATTTTAGCGGAAGTCTCTGTAATCACGTGACTATCTTACATGTGTCAGACCACAAAAATGATGCTTTCCTCAACAGTATCTTTCATAATTAGAGTTGAGATTAATTTTTAAAAACTGGTCATGTTCAATTTAGAGATCTTTCCTTAAGTAGCTTAATTCAGATTTTCCAAAGATTGAAGAGTTTATTCAGTATTATCTTTAGTATTTTAGGCCATTGTGGTTCATTTGGATTACCTAGATTCAGAAACTCAAACCTGTAGGGTTCTGAATATAAATGATAAATAATACCCTGAATTAGAACAACTCTGGTTCACCATGATAGGAGAAAGTTGTTTATAGCTTGGATTGTTAGAACACTTCTGGATCATTCCACATATTTCTGGGTAAATTGCTTTGGGGCACTGGCCAAGTGATCATTTTTGCTTATGGGAAAGATTGAAATAATATGTCACTACCAGTATTCCTGAATATGGCACCTAAAATATGTTGAGGTTTCAGGAATAATTAGTCACAATTCACAAGAAAAAGTATTTGTAATATGTAAATACTCTGCAAAATATCTGTGGGAATCTCTCTGTAAGCAATGTACACTCACTGCTGTATTAACGTTCCTATTAAGAATTCTTGCCCTGGCCAGTTCAGTAGTTAGAGTGTCGGAGCACGGACCAAAGAGTTGTGGGTTTGATAATGGTCAAGGGCACATACCTCCATTGCGGTTCATCCCCGGCCCTAGTTGGAGTCATGTGGGAGGTAGCCAGTTGATGTGTCTCTCTCTCGTTGACCTCTCTCTCTCTCTCTCTCTCTCTCCCTTCTTCCCTCCCTCCCATTCTATCTGAAGATAAATGGAAAAATATCCTCTGATAGGATAAAAAATTAAAAAAAAATTCTTATAAAAGTTGCCCTCACTTAAGACAATAAAGGAGAATTTATTATTTCAGAATAGGCAAACATTCAGAAAACAAAATAAATGTTACTCTATCAAAATTAAAGCACATTCTATTGAAATACATGGAAACATTAAAAAGAGAAGCTTCGGAATAAGAAACAAATTGCAACATAGTTAATTGACTAAAGAGCAATATTCACAATATAGAAACATCCATGATGATTTAGGAAAAGACAATGAATAAAATGGTGACAAAACAGGAAAAAATATATGAAACAAATCACATTCAATTTACCCTTGTGCCTCCTCCAAATATTATTTTCTGTGTATGATATGACATGAAAATTATGGCAAATCATTGCTCTGGAGAAACTCAGCACATATGTACAAAAAGGGATGTACACAAATCTTCAGTTGTGTATTGCTCATAATGACAAAAATAAAAATAGCCTATGTGATTTAACAATAATGGTTATAAATATACACTCAGACACTGTACAAATGAAAATGATTGCATTAGAAGAAATGTACCAGTTAGTTATACATCTCAGAAATATTGCTTAATATCATTTATATAGTTCAAAAGTGCAGTAAATATTATACATTGAGTATGGACATTCACAAAATTACAAAATAAATAATATCATGGGAAGGAAAATGTCCACGTTAAAGGTGAAGGGAGTCACGGACAAGGGAGAGAGGAATGAGACGGCAGAAGGTTATAATAGGATCTTTAATCCAATTGTAATGTGAGGCTTTAAAAAAACCAAGCAAATGTTATATATTTCTTTCCAAGTCAGCTTCTCCATGCTTTAATGTTGAAAGTGTAACTGAGAGCATATTTTATTTACCTTTGCTGAGGAAAAAACACTCGGAATTTAGAGGCTAAATGCAATCGGTTATTGTCCATTCTGCGGGCTGAAGGCATGATCCTTCTTCCAGTCCCCTGTGGCCTTATCTCGTGGCTGCAATCATCTAGGAGCTCTGCTGGGGCTGTTTGTTAGGCGACTTGGTGCTGGTGTTGTCTGGGGCCCCTCAGTGTTCTCCCAAGGAGCCTCTCATCCGCTAGTAGGTTACCCTGGCTGCCTCATGTAGTGACCTCGGAACAATGTTTGAAGAGACAAAGTAGAAGCTGTGAGGCATCTTGGTGCCTCGACTCCCAGATCTATTTAACGTCACTCCCAGCACATTTTATTGCTGGAACAAGTTGCAGTCCCAGCTTGCTCGGCCCATCTCCGTGTTCCCTCGTGGACACACCAGTCCTCTCAACCACTGCAGCTCACGGTTCCACGGTGGGAAGCAGAGGTCTGGCTGTTGGATCGTTAAGGATAAACAGGCAGAAGAGCCACTCCCATTTCCACCCTGCACCCACAAATTCTGGGTCCCGTAAATGACTGGATAAATGGCAGTGTGTACTGGCTGCAGCTTTAGAGCATCTACCAGATTCTGGAGGCCATGACCCCATCCCTCTGAAGTATTGCCAGCAGAGCTTGGCCATGACTGAGGTTGGAAAGGCTATTCCAATGTTCCAGGAACACAGAATTTCTGAATACTAGATGAGTTGTTCTTCACCACTGTCTTTCAGGGACACCCCACGGCAGGACTGTAATGGAACAGCTATCTACTTTCATATGGTACCGGCATATCATGTGGAATCATCTGAAAATATGGCCCCAGTACTTTCTTCCATATTCAGGTTGCCATAACAAATACCTCATGATGCTACAAATTTGAGATTTGAAGGACAAAGCTGCACAACAAGAACATGGACCATGGGCACCGGAACCACTCACTCATGCAATGTACTGTGTTTTCAGGAACAGGGTGCCATTCCTGCTGTGTATTCCTAATGCTATGGATTGGTGGGGTAGACAATAGACAGCACCCAGTCCAGAAAGTGTAGGTTGCAAAGTAACTTGGTAGCTTGTGGTCACCCATTCAGTCTCAATTAGGGTCCATTAAAAAATCAGAAGCTCGCCCTGACCGGTTTGGCTCAGCGGTTGTAGCATCGGCCTGCGGACCAGAGAGTCCTGGGTTCAGTTCCTGCCGGGGGCACGTACCAATAAAAAAGTCAGAAGCTGCCCTGGCCAAAATGGCTCAGTGGTTAGAGTGTCAGCCTTCGGATTGAAGGGTCATGGATCCCATTCCTGGTCAAGGGCAGTTGCCTCGGTTGTGGGTGTGATTTTCAGCCCTGGTTGGGGTCATGTGGGAGGCAGCCAATTGATGTCTCTCTCTCTCTCCACAATTCACTATATGGCCTTATCTGAAGTTCTAAATAATCCTTATCTGTGAATACATTGCAAGGACAAGCCTAT